CACTCCCAGCCAAGTGGGATCCAGCTACCCCAAACACCACACCATCAACTGGCGCATAATTTTTTAAACTTATTTCTTCCATGAGTGCCAGAAATAGAGTGAGAGAGATGAACAAAGCGGCAGCACTCCCAACAGGGTCATGACATAACTGTCTATGCCCAGCCTCATAGCCCCAGATTATGGGCCATGTACACGCAGTATGTTCCAAGAAGTCTACAGATGTGAACCCAAAATCTTGCTGGGGTCAGCCCCGCAGAGGTGCCATGCTGTACCGCTGCGCCACTGTCTGGGCCTGCATTCACTTTAAAGCAGCCAAGTGGCGATCAGAACAGAGAATGGCCAAACCCTCATGGGCCTCTTTTACCCTTCACCTCTACTCTGAAGGAGCTGCCAAGTCCCCAGCAAGAGCCATACCCAATTGATCAGGCAGGACCCAGGGAAAGTCCCTCTATGTTGACACCTGGTGAGTGTCAGGAAAGACTCCCAGACTGCTGCTCTTAGCACGTCACAGATTGCTAAATGGATCAGATCAGACCAGGAAGCCAAATTTTGCATGTAGAATGAGCCCCCACTCCCCAGATCCGAACCTGCGCTTCCTACCCGTGCTGCACAACTCTGCCTACCCATGCTCCTCTCAAGAGCTCTCTTCTTCTTGCCTGGCCTTGGGCATCAATTAAGTAGAAAAGATAAGACTGAGGTTGTGACAGCTGGGGTTCATCGCCTTCCCAAGCCAAGCACTTCGTGGTTGTCTTTCCTGCATCTCAGCCATCCTGCTACTCATCCACGCATCCCAGCTTGCAGCAGACACAGGACTTGGGATCCCAGGGAGGGCTTTCCTGGCTGCCATAGTTTTCATTAGTTGGAACCATGTGTCTAAGATCTCAGCAGCCCTGAGTGTGGAGAGTGCTCAGGAGGAGCAAGCGGAGCATTGCAACTGGTAGGAAACCTTTGAAAGCTACAGTTATTGGCAGCGAGAAAACCATCTGTTATTTTGTCTTCTATTTGTCTTCAAATTTCAGAGAAAGTGAGCAGTTGGACCACTTGACTTTATTGTTCACAGTTGGGAGAAGAGTTGGAGGGAGGCACTCCAACTTCCAAAGCTGCACAGAGCTCTTTCTTCTTGGCTCTTTAAATAACTATGGATTTCTTCTGTCCTCCAGGACTAGAGTCTCAACTGTGAGGTAGAGCCTAGTCAGGTATCCTAGCTATCTCCAAAAAAATCTCAAAGGCTCAGAAAAGGCCTCGCCCTAAACCTCCTTGCCATGCCAGGTTGAGGTTGTGGGCAAGGACCTGAAAGTGGGGAGGAGAAACAAACACAAAGACAAGCCCTTCCTGTTGCCAAATGATCAGGCCAGTCTCTGCTGGTGAAAAACAAAAGCAAAGATGGCCCCACCTGTCAGAGATGACGACTACCATCTTTGTCCAGCTTGTAGCTGAAATCTCTGGATAGAGAATAAAACTCCCAAGCTCTGCAGCAAAGAAGAGCATAAGAGGACACTTAGACTTTCATCTGGTCTACAGGTAGGACACCTGTCTCACCCAACCTGGACAGACGTGCACTTGAGCTGTCCAGATTCACGAGGTCCCTGGTTCTTCCTCCAGCACTTTCTCATTGTCATCACTCCAGGAGGACTCGCGTGGAGCAGTAGGGTCTTGTGGCCACCCCAAGAGACTGTCCAACAAATGGGGCCTAGGCCATTACTCCTAGGTTCTTCCTTTTGTGAAGAGCAGTGATCAAGAGAGAGAGTTCTGGAATCTCACTGTGTTACTTAGGCAAGTTACTTAACCTCTCCATGCCTCAGTTTCTTCATCTGTCCTGGGGATGACAGCACCTAGCTCACAAGGTTATTGTGAGGATACTAAGAATGAGATGTCAAGCACATCCGACAGTGTTGAGAGTCCCCAAGATCAACCTTAGATTCAGTGATTCACTAGAAGAACTTACAGAACTAAGAAAAGCTGTTATACTCATGATTACTATTTATTCCAGCAAAAGAATACCAACACATAGAGAATACTGCAAAGGGAAGCTCACTTGAGTCTCGGTGTCCACGGTTCTTATTGGTGGTTTATTATATGTGCATGGAGCACTTCTGTGGCTGGCCTTAGTTATTAAATCTCCAGCTCCTCCAGAGGTAAAACTGATACAACATGACCCAGGGCCCTCGCCATAAATCACATTGTTAGTGCAAATTATCTGCAGTGGCCCAAGACATTCTATCAGGGAGCATGTTGCAAGGTCTTAGAGGTTAGCTCCGAGGACCCAGTCCAGGGCCAGCCCTACCTTTGCAATGTGCAAAGTTTTCAAAGATGTGCATATCCCAGGCCTGCTGAGTCAACCCTTTAGGGCATAAAAACATCATAAGCACCCGTTATTTTTGTTACAGAATGCTGATACCTGCCTCCTGCAAGCACCTATCCTTTGCCCCCAGTACTATTATGTGGCTTCAGTCTGACTCTTTTCCTTATTGACGAGGGAGGAAACTCTTTTCCCATTCCTCTTTCATTATGATGAAGGCCCCTCTACTCAAGTAGCATTGCTGAGCTCCCCTTCCTTCACTGACTCCTCCCCAGAAAAGGGAAGTGACATTCTGACTAGAGGACTTTAGAGAAAGATCAGGCTTGTCACACCCCTTCATCTCTCCTGAGCTGTCCTCTACTGCCAGGGCACACACGCTGTTATAGCAGCAGCCCTTTGAGGGGTGCCAGCACTGTGCCTGGAGACCTCGTCAGGTTCAGGGATGAAATCATGGCAAGGCCAACAAACCCTAAACCACCGTCTCAGGCAGGTTTACCAGCAGTAACAGTGACACACTGTCTCCACTCGCCTGGCTCCTATGTTTATCCCTGTATTTATTCTTAACACAGGAAAAGGGGGGTGACATTTATGAGCCTCCTCAGGCACCAAGGCCAAATCAGTCAGTCCTTCCAGGGTCTGGAAGGTCATGATTGAATCTCCCTCAAAATGTGTCCTGCCAAGATCCTTCAATCGTGCCCCCTTCTCAGGATCCCCTGGCTTGTCTCCATCCTCTGGACACACTTGGCCATCTAGGACCCTCTCAAGACATTGAGCCAGGAACAAATACCGATGACCCTAGACATGGTCTGACCAGCTCTGATGTCTTGATCTTGTCTCAGGACCCTCACGACCACTGTCATCCCTGGGCAGTTGCTTTATATGCTGCACCTGCAGTTGGTGAAAGCCTTTCTCCTGATGAATTTGCTTTAGAACCAATTCCCTCCGCCCTCTGTAGATACACATAAGCATCTCCTGCAACGTTTAGGGATACAAGAATATCCCCCATAGAACAATCCCTTCTCCCAGAGCTCACTTCAACAGTTTCAGTACAAATTCTATCTACTCAAAAAAGTGCTCATCAGAATCCATAAGCTTCCAAAAATACATAAGGATTAAGAGCACAGACACTGACGTTAGACCTTCTTGGGTTCAAATTGCAACTCTACCAGCTGTGGACCCTTGGACAAGTGACTTTGCCTCTCGGAGCTTTGATTTCCTCCAATTCTTAAAATCTTGGAATTAGCAGTTGGTGTAATGGCTATGTCGCTGAATTCCCAAGTAGTCAACTGCGGTTCAAGTCCTGGGCCCGGTGGCTTAAATTCACACCAGGCACGTGTGCATGCGTGCCCAAGATCCTGAGAGGAGAATGGAGGAGAAGGGATTATGGCATGGTCATCCCCCCAGGGGTTGATTTCTCGCTTTCTGTCTCTCTGTCTCTCTCTGTCTTTCTGGCGCATGCACATGCCCTATAGCAAAAATCTCTCACAAAAAAAAAATCTTTAATAACACCAAGCTCCAAAGGGCCAAACTTGGTGTCTAGAATGTTTTCTATTCTTGATAATGCAAATCTATTAAGGTTATTAGTGTTAGTAGTAGTAGTGTTATTATTACTTCAAGTAAACTCTCTAAAGTAGCAACGACCTAAAGTTAAGGCAGGGACACAGTCCTTCAGGGAAGATGACTGATGGATGGACATTGCAATAAACCACAGGCCACAGACTTCCTTTGTGAGTTCAGCTTGGGGGTTCTAGCTGTTCAAATCTTACTTGGAGAGATTCTGTGAAAGCAAGAGGAGGGAGGAAGCAGCTGCAGTGGACGATCAGAGGCTGAGCAGGAGGAACAAAGCCCAATGCTGCTTGGGCCCTGGTTCTAGCCTCCAGGCACCTTGATTCTGTGTTTAGGAAAACATTTCAGGGGACCCAGAGAGAGAATATGTGAACAGATACAGCAGAAAGGTAATTGGAAATAACAAGTACGGTGACAACAAATGAACCCCCAAACCACCTAGGTGACAATCACAGCCTTCCAGAAGGGCAGGTCCACAACAACCTGACGTGGTCCCAGAATCAGAGGGTGTGTTATGGAAGCAGCAGGACAGCCAACGAGCACAGGTAACCTAGACTGGAGCCACAGTCCTCCACTCACCATCGGGGACTTACCTTCCTGCAGGTACTCCCCCCTGTGCACCATGGGAAACAACACTCCCTCCAGTGGGATGGCGTGTGCCTTGCCTGACACCTGTCCGGGCACCGTGACAATGAGTCCTGCTCCGTGGGGGTAACACAGAAATCAGCTTCACTACAGGAAGACAATCTTCCAGGTGTCACGCCGCCAGTGCACTAGAGCTCCGTGTTCACCTCAGAGTCCTAACACGTGTTGTCATCGCAAAGGGCCCGTCTGCAAACTAGACGGAGAGGAAGCGGAGGTGAGCAAAGGCAGCCAAGGAAAGTGAGAGGTGACAGTCCAGCAGGAGGCAGACAGAAACGCCTAACAAGCCGGGATGAGAATGACAGAACAGCGTAAGCTGGGCCATTTTCGAGCATGGGCAGTAGACCTGCATTAAATAACAAATCATGAGAACCTTGAGTTGTTAAAAGTTCAACCAATCCATTGAAGAATATATATATACACATATATGTTACACCTTGAGCAATATTACCATTACAAACAGGAAAACGGTTCGAGGTGAAAGTTACAGGTGTCTGACTTAGTATTGGGGTGCCTCTTTCCTTGACTTGGCTGGATAAACAGAACTTCCCCTTCCTCCCCCCCAAAAAATAAAATTGAAGTCTTGTTGCCTCTCACTGAGGTGTTATTTTCATAGAAGAAAAGCAATGGATATGACGAAAGGGAAGCAGGTGAGTGGGGACTTAGGGCTTGTCCTCCCATTGATAAAAAAGATAAAATCCGTTACATTTGGCACCTGACCGGTGCCGCCTGGAAAGCTCAATCTTCCTGGCCCTTCTTGGCGGCACCCAGCGCGCCAGGACTCCTGCCCAGCAGCATGTACTCCAGCCGCTTGCAGTGCTCGCGGAGCTGCTTCTCCCGGGGCAGCAGGAAGGTGAGGACCTTGTTGCGCACCACGCCGCGATCCTCCTCCTCCCTCAGCCGCTGCTTCACCCGAGCCGCCTGCTCCTCCTGTTGCGCCAGCGCCCCGTTCATCTCGCAGAAGGCGTCTTCCAGGTACCGAATGGACTTCAGCGCCTCCTTCTTAAAGTCCTCCAGCTCCCGCTGCACCCCAGCCACCTTCTGCTGCAGGATCTCCATTTCGGCCGGCGGTGGGAGCCAAGACTGGGAGAGGGAGAAGTCTCCAGACTGGAGGCCAGTCTCCACCATTTTCTTCCCTTGTAAGGTATTCACTTTCATGAGAATGGACCCAGCCTGATAGAGGGGTTCCATCTTCTCTCTTCTCCGTTGGATAAAGAAGCCAAGAGACCAACCAGGTCAGTGAATTTGGGGGGGCTAGAAACACAATTACTTGGAGTGAAGAAATCCTCCACATTGTGACATCAGCGCCACTCCAGCCAACCAGGAAGAAAGCCACAATCCATTCATTTGCATATGGCAGGCAGGCTCCCTGGTTGGCTACCTAGAGCTTTGTCTCATCAACTCATCACCTTTCCAGAAGCAGAGCCCAGGCTCTCATTTAACCTGACGAATGAAGTCTCAGAGCAGGGCAGTAGACTGGCCAGAGCAAGGCAGGCCAGGCAGAGCTCACTGGCTGCCACTCCTGGGTGGTTTCCCGCATGGGCAAGGGGCCCAGAAGTTCCCCCAATGGCCTGTGGGCTTCTGTATCTCCCCAGTAAAATGAGTACATTGAAAGAGATGATGTCTAATCCCACTTCTAGCTCTAAAATGCTAAAAGAGTGATTTCTGATTCCAACTTCATATTGCTATAACGATGCCAGAACTGTAGATCATCTTAGCTGTGAGAAATGTGCTTAGGTTTTGATGTATGCTCCAGCGCAGTGGCTGATCCGGTATGGACAGGATAACAGTGAGTCCCTCCGATGTATTTAGTAAGTACCGAGTCTTCACACTATACTAGGACCAGAGAGCACATGTGAGCGACCGTGCACAGTCCCCAACCGACCTGAACACTGACAGATATGAGGAAAAGCATCCAGAAGAGTGGATCTTGCATTTTTTGCCTGAGTTTGTAAACAAAGGTAATGGATCTCGCAAATCTACACTTGGTGTAGTCACAAACACACCTCTGTCTCGTAGATCTCAATCTCTTGCCCAGACTTTTCCTGGGCTCCAAATCTAAACTCCCCAACAGCCTCACATCCAATCCATTAAAGCCGAACTGCTTATCCCATCACCTCAACTGGTTCCCATTGCACGGCGTTGCTGTGGGATTAATGACCTGGACTTGGAGCAGCACACACCTCAGGGCTACAAGAGGAACCTGGTGCTGTGGTTTGAATATCTGTTCCCTCTCAAAGTCATGTGAAAATTTAATTGCCATTGTGCCAATATTAAGAAATGGGGTCTTTGGGAACCAGCAGCTAGCGTAATGGCTATGTCGCTGGACTCCCATGTAGTGGTCCATGGTTCGCGTCCTGGACCCAGTGGCTTAAAACTCACGCCGGGCGTGTGTGCGTGCGTGCCCAAGATCCTGAGAGGAGAACAGAGGAGAAGGGATTGCGGCGTGACCATCCCCCGGTGTGGGGGGGGTGATTTCTTGCTTTCTGTCTCTCTGTCTTTCTCTGTCTACCGAGCGCATGCGCCCTATAGTGAAAAAAACTCTCAAAAAAAAAAAAGAAAGAAAAGAAAAAAGAAATGGGGTCTTTAAGATGTGATTAGGTGGTCAGCCATCTTTCAATTGTGTTCGCAGCCGCCGCTGTGCCGCTGTCGCTCTCCAACACCAGCGCCGCCTCTAGCTCGCCGAGCTCCAGCCAAAGAAGGGGTAAGTGAGGAGGTCTCTTTGCCATGGCTCCTACAAAGCAGACAGCCCACAAATCCATCCGGTGGTAAAGCACCCGGCTACAAAAGCCGCTCACAAGAGTGCGCCCTCTACTGGAGGGGTGAAGAAACCTCATCGTTACAGGCCCGGTACGGTGGCACTCCGTGAAATTAGACGTTATCAGAAGTCCACTGAACTTCTGATACGCAAACTTCCTTTCCAGCGTCTGGTGGAAGAAATTGCTCAGGATTTTAAAACAGATCTGCACTTCCAGAGCGCAGCTATTGGTGCTTTCTTTGCAGGAGGCAAGTGAGGCCTACTTGGTTGGCCTTTTCGAAGACACCAACCTGTGTGCTATTCATGCCAAACGTGTAACAATAATGCCAAAAGACATCCAGCCAGCACGCCGCATACATGGAGAACGTGCTTAAGAATCCACTATGATGGGAAACATTTCATTCTCAAAAAAAAAATTTTTTTTCTCTTCTTCCTGTTATTGGTAGTTCTGAACGTTAGATTTTTTTTTTCCATGGGGTCAAAAGGTACCTAAGTATATGATTGCAAGTGGAAAATAGGGGACAGAAATCGGGTATTGGCAGTTTTTCCATTTTCATTTGTGTGTGGATTTTTAATATAAATGCGGGGATGTAAAGCATTAATGCAAGTCAAAATGTTTTGGTGAACAAGTTTCAGCAGTTCAACTTTATAACGATTATAAATAAACCTGTTAAAATTTTCTGGACAATGCCAGCATTTGGATTTTTTTAAAACAAGTAAATTTCTTATTGACTGAAAAAAAAAAAAAAAAAGATGTGATTAGGTCATGCAGATTCTGCCCTCCTGGATAAATTAGTGCCCTTATCTTGGGAGTGGGTTCCCTATAAAATAATAGGTTCAGCTCCCTTTTGTCTCTTCCTTGCCCTCTGTTTGCCCACCCCACCACCCATCACGTGTTGACTTTTGCCACGGTATGACACAGCAAGAGGACCCTCGCCAGATGCTAGCACCTTCATCTTGAATCTTCTCAGCCTCCAGAACTATAAGGAAATAAATTTCTTTCTTTATATAATAAATTATGCAGTCTCAGGTATTTTCTTATAGCAGCACAGAATGAACTAAGACATCTGAGATCATTCTAGACCTCTCATGTCAAAGTGGCTCTAAATCCCATTATATCTGTCATCTCTGAGCACACCAGCCTCAAACCACCTGGATTAGAGGCCCAGAGTCCCCGTTCCACTACTTATAAACTATGTTCTTTGGCGGATTACCTCATCTCCTAAGCCTTGGTTTCTGTTTTTCTTTTCTTTTTTTTTTTTCTGGTTTTTGTCACAGAATACATGCAGTCACCAGAGAGAGACAGAGATAGGAAAAGAGAAATCACCTCCCAGGGCGGTTGGCCATACCACAATCCTTTCTCCTCTTAGGGTTTGGGCATACATACTTATGTAGTCGACATGATTTTCAAGCTGTCAGGTCTGGGTATCCAACCATAGTCAGCCATGTGGGAGCCCAGTGCCTTAACCACTGTGCCACCAGCTGGCCCCCTGAGTCTCAGATTCTTTATAAAGTAAGAATGCTAATTCAGTGGTGTGCAGCTCTCTGGAAGAGGGGGAAAAAAAAAAAAAAAACAATGCTCTGATTTATACCTGTTGCCAATTTCCATGGTGTAAATACTCTTACCATAGCCAATTTCAAGCTACCAGCATGATGTCGCTGGGAACAGACACACATCAGCTCTCATGAACCTGTGCCAGCCCACTCTAGAACCACAGGGCCTACAATGAGGGCCTTCTCTGAGATGCAGATGAACCTACCTAGTGTGCCTTGAAAAGTAAGCATCAGTGAGGGCATTTTGCAGAGAGGCTCATGGCTAAACTAAGGTGGAATTTTGAATCACAAGATGGAAAAAGCAACTCCAATTATTGACACAGAAGGTTTGGTGGAAAGAACACTGTTCTGAGTCAGGAGACCCGGAGTCTGTAATCACTGTGTTCCCGGATCAGTCAGCTCTTCTCTCCGAGCCTGTTCCCTCTGCTGCAGTATGAAAAGGTGGGAGGCAGCTTCTGCCAAGGCACTTACTGCCTTCTTCCTCTTTGACTTTATCCTTCCAGGCCCCAGATGGCACAGTAGTCTACGAGGACAGGGACTGTGCATTTCTTACCCTGTGTACCCTCAAGTGCCCTGCACATAATGGCACTCAGATAACTAGATGGAATAGAATTTATGTGCAAAGGTGGCTCTCAAATCCCAGGCATCGCCAGCTTTCCTGCTAACGCCCCGGCACTGCCAGCTTGCCTTCTGACATGATGACACCTACTGGTCTTAGCAGAAACAACAGCCTCCGATTCCCCTACCTAAGAGCCAGATGTGGATTAGAGAGATGATGTAAATAGCACGTATGGTGTGTTTAATTGAGGGGAGGGGAATGTGTGTCAGGCACATAGTAGGCTTCCAATAGCTATTTCTCAAATCCATAAAAGAAAGACCGTGTCTCTGTCATCTAGCTTGTGCCATTCTCTCTCTCTCTCTTCTCTCTGTCTCTCTTTCTCTGCCTCTGTTTCTGTCTCACACAGGGAATAGTTGGAAGTCACAACCAGAGCTAGGAAAGAAAAGTAGCAAAAGTCGCAAAGAAATAGCGATTTTTTCAGTTATCCTGGTGCTTTTTAATGAGGCCTTTGGTTTGCGTCTCAGAACCAGAGGGGACAGTATTTCTACCTGAACCACAGCAGAGGCTGAGAATAAGCGAGCACTGTTGGCAGAAGGCCCCAGGCTAGGAAGGTAAGAAGGCCAATCTATTTGTCTCCTTCAGGATATCAATAGAAGGAAATTCTAACATCTTCTGGCAAGGCATCTCTGGGCCTTGGACCGCCCCATTCCTGGCTGTTTCAGCACTCACAGCCTTCACGGGTCTCAGGATAATGGGGGGACAGGAGGGCCTGCACAGAAACTGCACAGAAATCCAGGTCTCAGACTCTACCTGAAGGGGGGAGACTTGGCACTGGGCATATTTGAATATTCCCAGGGAGGACACCTCTGGGTGTGAGCACCACTCCTGCCTGCCCATGACTTGCAAATGGAAACCCATCGTCTCCCCAGCACCCCACCATGTGTCTTTACTATTAAAATCAGCTTTGATCAGTTTTAGGATCAGGAAGGACATGCATACACTCCTTCTTCATGTACAGTTTATAAAGTAAAGAAAACCCTCAAGAGCTAGAAGCTCCTTATGTCCTATTAGTTCAAATTGCATCCCTGGCATTTCATTTTTTTTTTCTCTCTCTCCTTCTTTCTTTTTCTTTCTTTCTTTCTTCCTCTTTTTTCCTTTCTCCTTTCTTCCTTTTTTAAATTTGCTAGAGGGTGCATACACTCACTAGAGAAAGAGAGAGGGAGAGAAAGCGAAAACACAGTCCATGAGGAGACGGTCATGCTGCGATCCCGTCTCCTCCATTTCTCCTTTTGGAATTTTGGACATGCATTCACATGTGCCAAGCATGTTTTTCAAGTTCAATTGTGCAGTTGGCTAGGTGGGATCCAGTTGCCTTAACCACCATTCCCCTGGCTAGCCCCAAAGACTAACTGTGGTAGAAGTAGGATCGGAATTCATGGCTCAAAGAAACTGGATCCGTAATCCAGGGCCTTAGACTGCTCAATCACACTACCAGATCATCCCTGGCATTTTGAACCAATCACTAGCTGAGGGGTGGAGCTCCTGCCAGGGCCCAGGCCAATCACAGTTCTCTTCCTGGGACTGGTAGGGCCTCCTGGAGTACAGACCTCCCAAGACCAGAACTAAATTGGAGTTCTGTTCTCAAGCGAGAAAGGAAGTGGATAGGCAACCAACAATCTTATCCAAAGACTAATTTTTTTTTTTAAAGAGATTTTTGCTATAGGACAGAAATCGCCCCTTCAGGGGGGATAGCCAAGCCACACTCCTCCTCCTCCATTCTCTTCTTGGGATTCTGAGCTCACACGCACATACGTGTCCAGCATGAGTTCCAAGCTGCCAGGTCCAGGACTCAAATCAAGGTCAACTGCGTGGGAGTCCAGTGCCTTAACCACTACACCACTTGCTGGACCCAAGAATAAATTTTAAGAGCAGATTCAGTGAAAGGTGCATGCTTAATTTCCCCAAACTGCTACTATTAGCTGTCGGACAGAATTGGGGAACTGTCTTCTAGAAGTTCCTTAAAATTAGTCTGTCTTGGGGGTTAGCAGATGGTGTGGTTAAGGTGCTGGACTCCCACATGGCTGACCATGGTTTGAACCCTGGACTTAGCAGCTTGAAAATCATGCTTGGCATGCATGTGCCCAAAATCCTGAGAGGAGACTGGAGGAGAAGGGATGGCAGCATGGCCATCCCCCTACTGGGTGATTTCTCACTTAACCTTGCTCCGTCTCTCTCCGGCAAACACACATGCCCTATGGCAAAAACATAAATAAGTAAATAAATAAATAAGCCTGTTTCTCCACACCCATATCCCTAATGGGAAAAAAATTACAGGAAAAAAAAATAAGCAGAATTTAAAGCAATCTGTCACAAATCCCAGAGCGCATGTGATTAGACATTTCTAATCCAGAGAAAGGACAGCTGTTGGCCCTGTTCTTCCACCCTCTTTGCAGAATCCCCTGGTCCTGTGCTTCCCGTGAGGCTGCAGTGGCTTGAGCAAGGATGCTGCCACACAGCCAACATCTTCCCAGATGTGCCATGAACATCTTGCCTTCTATGCACCACCCATCCACCCTTCCACCCATCCACCCTTCCACCCACCCACCCTTCCACCCACCCATCCACCCTTCCACCCAGCCACCCTTCCACCCACCCACCCACCTTTCTACCCAGCCACCCTTCCACCCATCCATCCATCCTTTCACCCATCCACCCTTCCACTCCGCCATTTGCTCAATGACATTAATTGAGTTACCTACCCTGTACACACTGCATTAGGCAGTGGGAGTCAAGAGAGTGACCAAGACAAGAAAGTCCTGCTCTCAAGCTACTCATATTTAATGGAAGGAGACAATGGACAATAAGCCATACACAAATAAGATGACAGGCTAGTGCTAAGCCCCTGAAGGGAATAAGCAAGGCAAGGTGATGGAGAGCCTTTGGGCTGGGGTAGGCTCAGGGAGAGCCTTTGTGAGGCAGGGACAGGGAGGTAAGACAAGCAGGATGAGAAAACCTAGGGATAATGTTAGAGGAAGACCCACAGGTGGAGAACCCCAGGGCAGGACCGGGCTTGGGGAACCTCAAGGAGGCTCTGTGGCTAGAGGAAAAGGTAAAGGGGAAATGGGGGGGTCACAGAGCAGGACTAGGCAACATCCCAGCTGTGGGGAGGAGGGAAGGGTATCCCCAGTGTTTGCTGTGCACGATTCCCACCTCTGCACTGGTATTCCAGTCCGGGGAATGGGGTCAAGGCTGGGATGGGGAATCAGGACCAAGAATAAAACTGGATGCTGTTCACCATGATTAATTAACCCAGTGC